CAAAGGGAATGCCCAAACGTTCTTTTCCAAAAAGCTTTCACCACACGATTGCTTGTGCTTATGATATGGTTTCCCACAGATGGTGCCAATCTGTTGACCTCATTTTCGTTTGGAGGCCATGCGGATAACAGATACCCGATCCATCTACGCACACGTAAGCCTAGTCAGACTGCTAAGACACACAAGTGGCCTGGGACGATTCGAGAAAGGACGTGGAAGTAGCTCAAAGGCGCAGGACGACATCATTTAAAATTCGATAAGACCTTTGTAGAACGATTGTATAATAATTACCAATCATGGTTAATGAATATGTATGTAGACTCAATTGTATAGCAATAGAATAATATGGAGCAAGTTCTTTGGTATTTGTTCGTGCATTCAATCTTGTATTCAAAGTTGTATCCTCCTTAAAATGGATGCATGGTGGAGTATTTATAGTAGACAAGATGAATCGTGGCCCTCGATCGGGAGTACACATAGCCTCATCTCGTTAATTCACACATCTAATCTTAGGTATCACTTATGACATACTAGCCAGCTATAGATTTGTTAGTTGGCAGAGCTGCTACTTTGTTTGACAAGACTTGACACTTAAACTCTATGATAGACATCTCATCAATCATTCGAAGAAGATACTTGTGTAAGAATGGATTTCTTGGAAGAGGTGATACTAAAGGTGCTTCGGAGGTCTCAGTTTCGACATAGGGACCTCGGTATGAACCACCTCAGCCAATGTACTTCGGATTTGAAGATGCTGAGCCTCAGTTGAGATGTTAGTTCTGGTTGCATTCCACAGCTTAAGAGTCTCGGCAACCATGCCACATGTGACGAGACGTAACACTTTTTTTTTTTAATATTCCAACCAGCAAAAGTGAATTCTTTTATAATTTGACGATTTTTTTTTATTATGTAAGAGATTTTTGTCTTCTAAAAATGTGTATTTCGAAATGGAATGTAAAGTGACGTAACTCTTTAAATAGGTACTTGAACATCATAGGGAGAACTACAAACAGATATCAAACCGTCCCACGTCTAGCAACAGTATTAGGCAACCAATCATATGCGCATTAACAAGAATAACAACTAGTATGAGTAGTGTTGAATACTAGTTTAGATGACAGCATGTCAGATTTTATCAAATATGTTATAAATTCTTGTATTTAATTTAATTTGTAATTTTAGCCTATGTTTGGTCCCCCATTTTCTCATAAACACATTTTTTTCAAAATTTATTTTCAATTGTACAATCTTCCATAAAATAATATTACACATAAATCAAGAATTTTTCTTTATTTCTTAACCATAGATTCTCCAAAAAGCCACTATTCCAAAATTACATTTTAATGGAGCCCAAATAAGGGCTGATGCCACAAGTACTACTGCCTAAACTGATGTCAAATGTACTAGATATCATTACTCAATTGACAATTAGGGGATAAGATCATAAAAGATTCTAAAGAAATATCCAACAACAAAAAGAACTCAACAATTGAAAAGGTACTGAAAACTACTACAGTAAAACATTGATAAATAAATATTCGGTAAATAATTAAATTATTTAATAAAATTTATCAATCTCAACTCATATCAATTAACTAAATTAATAATCTCGGCAATGCATATGATAATAATTATATTTAAAATTATTCAGGTTTCACCGAAAATTTAGAATGCGAAATGAATTAAATGCATAAAATTTTAAAATACATGTTATGAACTTTTTACCAGATAATTTACATATTTTCAATTCAATTTTTAGAAATTATGTTTCTAATTTTTTTTTCTTCGTACTCAAAGCAAACCCAACCCTATCCTTTATTTTTTGGAATGCATGTTACACATTTGGAATATTAATTTTCATTTCGAAGAAACGATTAAATAAAACAACACTATCATTTAGATCATGATCATATTCAACAGACACATTCAATACCCCTTGATAATCTCATTGTTAGTAGGTTATTCTACAATCGTTTTATTTTTCCTATAAGAGTTCAAGAGTTGTTCAGCATCCATCACATTTTTTAGTGATGACTAGAAATGATTGCACTTAATCTATTGATAAATTAATAAATTATTCATTTGTCGAGAAATTAATAACCCTTCTAAAGTAATAATGATATGTTCGGGATAGGCCACAAATTATCAAGAATTTAGCGATTGTTGGGAAGAGGCCAAAGCTACGTTTGAGACCTCCAAGAGTCAATAAAGGCCGAGTAATCACATATGTGAACAATGGGAACCAAAAGAATGAAGGTCATATGCCAAGGACCAAGTTTGACATTGGGGTTTAGGTGCGAGACAAATCGAATCAATTTAGTACGAGCCATCAAAATGGGAGGCCAGCCACAACGTCATGCGATCGCAGTCTTAAGGAACCCATGCGACCGCACACATTGAAGCAGAGGAATTCAACCGCAACTCAAGTGGTCGAAGCAACCGCACCACGAAGAACCTTGTGGTCGCATAGACCAAATACAGGGAGAAAATTTTCCTTTTTTCGTGCCAAAGTTTATTTTGGTTAAAAAACCTATTTTGGTAGCTTTTATAATTCTAGGACTCTTTAATTCCATTTTTACCATGTTTGTAGGGTTTAGTATAAATAGGGGCTTATTTTATCATTGTATTTTCAAGACTTTTGATACTGAGAATTCATTGAGAGGCTTGTTTGATTCTACTTTCTTGTTCTTGATTGAACAATTAGAACTTATCAAGATTAACAATCTTGTGGCGTTCACAAAATTCGGGTGATATTCATAAATCGTGTGATCAAGAGCTCGGTAATTAATTCAATTATTGGTTGCTTGGTTCATCTTTTGTGGGTTAAATCCAAACCTTGTTTATTGGCATTCTTGGGACCCGGTCTCAATCTCGTTGTGGATTTTGCAGTCGTCGTTGATACGTGCGTTTACATCTAAGATTCGAGATATCAAGTGTTTCAAGTGCTTACGATCTGGGCACATTGCTTCTCAGTATCCTAATAAATGAGCCATGATCTTGAGTGTCAATGGGAGAAGTAGTGAATGCCAGAGATGGAGATGGGATCCCCGAACTAGAGGATGCTAGTAGTGGTGAAGTGCTAGAGCATGCGATAGAAGGAAAATCACTTGTGGTGATGCGTGCACTCAACATACAAATCAGGGTGGAGAAAGAGAAGCAGCAACGAGAGAATATCTTTCATACTAGATGCCATGTCGAGAACAAGGTATATAGTTTAATAATTGATGGATGTTGTTGCACTAATATAGTTAGTACCGTGCATGCTGAGAAGTTAGGCTTGGTTACTACAAAACACCCTAAGCCTTACAAATACCGTGGTTAGATGATTGTGGAGAGGTTAAGGTGAATAAGAGGGTATTAGTAAACTTTTCGATTGGGCGGTATAGAGATGAGGTGTTGTGAGATGTTGTTCCTATGTATGCTGGGCATATTTTTTTGGGTAGACCGTAGCAATATGATAGGAAAGTAAAGCATGAAAGATTTAGAAATAGGTACAATTTTGAAAAAGATGAAAAATCTATTACACTTGTACCTTTAACACCACAACAGGTCCATGAAGACCAACTAAAATTGAGAGATGAGGGAGAAAGAAAGGCAAAAGGAGAGCTCGAGAGAAAATGATGAGGTGGCTAAGTGTGAGAAAAACAAAGTAGAACCCAAGAAAGAAAAGAAAGTCTTCTGAGCAAAGAGAAAAATGCAACGTGAACTTCTATGCAGAAAAGAAAGAGGTTGAGAGGGATTCGATGAGGACTAACAAATCCTTCCTCAATTTGAATATTTCTTTGATGGAAGAATGTGAAAACTTGTTGCATGAAGACTTTCTGAAGGGAGTATCCAATTGACGCGTTGCCATTGGAACATCTATGGAGCATCGAAAAAGCACCATTCAACCATAACATTGTGGTGTATCAAGATTTCAAGCAAGAATTGGATAATGTTCTAGCAAATGGAAAGCTAGAAATGGAATTATGTTTGTTCCAAGATAGTGAATGGAAGAGGTGTAAAATATTCAGACCTAGTGATTGGGATTGGGAGAATCAAAAAAAGAAGTGTGATTGTTTGCAAAGGAGATCAAAGCTTCACTTGAGAAGAGATGGTCCATTCCATGACATTGCAAGGCTTTAGGCAATGGATACAAATTTGATCTTGAAGTTCCAGATTCGAGGACAAATCCTTTCAAAGAGGAAGAGGATGATATGATCCAGAATAGGCCACAAATTATCAAGAATTTGGCAATTGTTAGAAAGAGGCCAAAGCCATGTTTGAGACCTCCAAGGGTTAATAAAGGCTGAGCAATCACCAATACGAACCATGGGATCCAAAAGAAAGAAGTTCATATGCTAAGGACCAAGTTTGATGTTGGGGCCGAGGTGCTAGACAACTTGGATCAATTTAGTATGAGCCATCAAAATGGGAGGCTAGACACAACACCATGAGGTCGTAGCCTTAAGGAACCCATGCGACCGTACACATTGAAGCAGAGGAATTCTGGCTGCAACTCAAGTGGTCTAAGCGACCGCACCACGAAGAACCTTGCGGTCGCATAGACCAAATACGGGGAGAATTTTTTCCTTTTTCACGTGGGATTTTTATTTTGGTTAAAACACTTATTTTGGTAACTTTTATAATTCTATGACTCTTTAATTCCGTTTTTACCATGTTTCTAGGGTTTAGTATAAATAAGAATTTATTTCTTCATTGTATTTTCAAGACATATGATATTGAGAATTCATTGAAAGGCTTGTTTGCTTGCACTTTCTTGTTCTTAATTGAGCAATTTGAACTTATCAACATTAATAATCTTATGGCATTCACAAAATCCAGATGATATTCATAAATCATGTGATCAAGAGGCCATTAATTTATTCAATTATTTGTTTCTTGGTTCATTTTTTGTGGGTTAAATCCCAAACCTTGTTTTATTGGCATTCTTGGGATCCAGTCTCAATCTCATTGTGAGTTTCGCACCCGCCGTTGCTACGTGGGTTCACATCAAATAATTTTTTCAAACCCATTGCTATTATTTTATAGAGGCTTTAGTAGTCTCCTCAAACACCACAAGCATCTCGACAAACTCATAGCAGGATTTTATTAAAGACTTTCTAATGAAGCATAAAGCTTCAATTGGAATCAGTCTGTGATGCTAAATTTATTATGTCCTGCTAGTAGTATTAACAACCAAATTAATCTTCCTTTCCGAGCAAAGTCAAGAGGAAGGCCTTGTAGTCGCCCGAAGTCTCCTTTCCCACTGCATGCTCAAGAGGCATACTGTTTCTCTTCTGGAAAAGCTCCTTTATTTCCTTTAAGTCTTTCTCAGCACTCGTGATAATAACCCGAGTGAGCGAGTCCTCATCAGTCCCAGGCTTGTTAAGTGCACAACGAACTACCTGTAATGTAAATAGCGTTTATGATTCCATTAATCCGTTTCAGTAATTGTATTCTAAACGGATAGAAAGTTTTTCATTGGATCAAGTATTAATCACCTTTTCATAGTACTTGTGATGGTCACAAATGCATCGGATGGCAGTGAGCAATACAGATAAGTATTCGTGACTCGAATCATCCTTCAAATGCTAAAAAAAATACATTTTTCTTCAGTTAAACAATGAGAAAAAGAAAAATTAAAATTTCAATGCAATAAATGAATAATTGTGTCTCTTACCCTAGTAATTTTTGTGCCATAATCATCTTTGAACTGATTCAAAGTTGCTAGGACTTGAGCCTTACTCCTTGTAGTTATGATTCGAATAGTTTCTTCATGATTATATACCTTTTCTGAGATAACACGATGAAGTATTTCTGCCTCAGAGCTTGCTAGCCTCGCACTAATCTCCTTGCCATCATACCTATATACGCTTACTAGCCCGACCAGAAGCTGTAATAAGATATCGCCACTAAGCATTATTCTGTATTGTATTCTAATAAATAGCTATGGCATTAAGAGAGAAAAGAATTCTATGTAATGAAATTGTTACGTGCCTGGCGAATATCACCAGTAGTATGTTGAGCCAAGTCTTCTTCCACGGAATGCTTGCAGCGAATTTGGTAGGCACGTTTGATAGCTAAAAGCTCTTCATGTGACCGAATACACGAAATTTCAATAATTACTCGATAATCAGGGATTGGTAATTGATTGATAGCAACATTCAACAAGACAGCATCCCGATCGTGTGGATCCAGTGTCCATCGGTATACAGCTTTCTGTGTTCATTCAAAATTTCACATAAAAGTACTCATTGAAAAGATACTATTGAAGACTAAACATCGTGTGTGAACGAAGGCCTAAGCCTAATTAACTTTGATAAACACGAAGCCCCTGTATAGCTCATATTTTTAATCAAATTTTAATTTGAGTCAAAGTCAAAAAATCAATATTAAGCACATCTTTCTTGGGTCCCATAACTTTTCAATCATACATTTCAAAAACTTCTATCGAAATTTACTAAAAATCTAATTTTAATCACCATCAATCACCCCCTAAATCTATCCAACCCATCTTCGAATAAGAGTTGGCTGAGCCCACTGGTAGGGGATATCACACACCTTACTTCTATATCATTTTTCTATTCTATTTTTTGCTGTCAAGAGTCCCTCTTCTTTAGCTGGAGGTAGAGGCATAGGCCAGTCAGGCTACTCTAAGCCCCCGTTTGATCCCCATTAATTTAAATTACATTACATTCCATTTTTCTCTTTCATATTTTTAATCACACAATCTTTCATAAAATAATATTACACATAAATCGAAAAAAATTTCTTCTTTTTTAATCACTCATTTATTTTTATTTTCAGATAATGGGGATCAAACGGGGCTAAGTAAAAGTAGAAGCTCGGTAACTCGGTTGGAAACAGGAAATACCTCAAATTGACCTAAATAAAGGAAGGATTTTCCAAAATAGCCTTTGACTTTTCTAAACATTTTGGATTACCTAAAATACCCTTAAACAAATATTAAAAAACAACCCTTTATCCAATATAAATCTTCTATTTAAGTCCTTAAAAAATTAACATATAATTTTTCTAAAAATTTGTGAGAATTATTAATGACTAATCATAAAATAGAAAAACCCAAATATAAGAGAGGACCATATAATATAAAAAAGGTTGTTAAAAATAAAAAAGAAATTAAGTTTGAAAAAGAAATTGATAAGATAGGATATCAAGAACAATTATATGCATCACAAGAAATATTAAAATGTTTTAAAGAAAACTTATTAGAAAATTTCGCTAAAGGAATTGTAAGGTCAATAATCATAAAAGATATACAAGATATTATAGATAAATTGGAAAAAAGGAAGAAAAATATTTCAAAATATGATATACCTTTTAAAACAGATATAGATATGATAACAGATATTGATATTATAAATTCTCAAACATTATTAGACTTTGAAGAATTACTTAAGAATTTATGAGATTAAAAATTTTGATATTTTGATTATTAGATTATTAGATTTTTGTTCGCTCATAGTAGCACCCATAGAGTTGGTATCAGAGCCATAGAGATCATGGAAATCTTAAAAATAAATAATTATTATCAATGTATTGAAGAAAAAGGATGTTATATATTTTACAACCCTATCCCTAATAAACTAAAAATAATAACATTATATATAACTAGGAATTTACCTAGAGAAATAAAGGAACAAATATTACATAAATTAATTGTAGGATTTATCAAAGATAGACGTACATATGAAATAATTTGTGAAATATTTGAAAATGAGTTGAATGATAAAGAAATATATGAATCATCATAAAATATAATGGAAAAAACTAAAAATATTTTAGATAGAAAGTTAGAAAGAATAAGATTAATAAATAATAAAATTTTAGATGAATTATTAATACCTGGAGAAATAACTAAAACTCAAGAAAAACAGATATTAAAATTAAAACAAGAAAGATATAAAGAAAAAGCAAGATATTATGAAAAATTAAAAGAACTGACAAGTATTGAAATTATAAAACAAAAGTATGATAAAATGATAAAAGAATGTAAAAATGCTGAGTGTGTAGTATTTTATTATTGTCAATCAAAAAAATAAATAAAATGTCAATCAGTGAACATATGGAAGAATTAAAGCATTTAATAAGAA